TGAACGTCACAGACCGTAAAGTCTCGTTTTAGCATATGAACTAACGGGTGGACCAGAAGAAATTGCCGGCTTTTGAGAGGCCGTTTTCTCAAGTTAGACTGAATGAGAAAGTTTCGTTCTGATGTCAAAAGATAGAGAATTTTGTGTAGATTTTATTGATATTTTCTTTGCGAAATAAGTATTTGTCCTTCTCTTGTAGCATTAAAGGTATTCGATACCACAAAAACAGCATTTGCTCAACTGCAAAATGAGACACTTTTAAACCTAAAATTTTTGCTCGGTTAATTATAGTTCAAAAATTTCTTCTTGTTACTAATCGATGCCGAATTTTTCGATGTATCTAGTGGTGTCTTTATTTTTTTAAGCTTAATTGTTTCTGCTTCAAAAACCACAAAGTATTAAGAAAATACTTTGGGTTAACAGAATCGTACTGTTCGTTGCCAATTTTCTCCGAACTCGGTTTTACAAAAACTACTCTTTTTATATCAAAAGATGTAGAATTTCAAGCTCTACAAAATGCTCTTCATTATTAAGAGCTGAATTCCTTTTCTAAACTAATGATGAGGCTGAGATCTTTCGCCAGCAATAAAAAGGTACCAAAACTGTACAATTAGGCATTTTTTGCAAGCAGCTTTTCTAATGATGAAACTTTGTCTCCAAATTTGGTATTGGATCTTAAAAATAGATAAGCCTCCGTACTTTATGATATCGCATTTGAATAGCGTATGTACGTAGAATCATTTAACAAAGAAAACTAACCCTTTATTCCAGTAAAATGCTGAGCAAATGATGTTTTTGTGGTATCGAATACCTTTAATGCTACAAGAGAATGACAAATACTTATTTCGCAAAGAACATATCAATAAAATCTACACAAAAGTTCTCTATCTTTTGACATCAGAACGAAACTTTCTCATCCAGTCTAACTTGAGAAAACGGCCTCTCAAAAGCCGGCAATTTCTTTTGGCTCACCCGTTATTTCCTTATTGCATTCCTGAAAGATTAAGCATAGTGTGAAATGTGTCCTGCACCAAAATAGATAGCATAAAACAATCCCCCCTATGATTATCAGAAGCAGCAGATTAGATCGTGTTTCACATTTTAATCCTGCTTGAATTGTACCAACAATTTTAATATAATAATATAAATTTATTTTCGAAGATGTTTGTCAAGAAAAAAATTCTATTGAAGATAATCTTCGAGCTAAATTTGAACATGAAATAAAATTAAAATTAGATGATTTACGTCGAACATTTGAAAAAGAATATAATGATAAAATTTTATATTATAAAAATAATTATGAACAAGATAATCAAATATTTAAAACAAAATATAATCAAGATTTAGAACAACAATCAAAAGAATTCAATCAAGATATTGAACGAATGAAAATTAATCATGAAAAAATGATTAATGAATTAAATATTGAACTTGATCGACTTCGAGCTAATGGTAAGTTTAAGAATAATTTATAATTCAAATAGATGCTGTTAAAGAGATAGTTTCAAAATCTCGATCTTTCTTAGACTTTAGATTTAAACTGAGGTCAGATCCGACAAGAGAGTTCTTTTTATTCAATAGTTTGAGATTTATCATGCTTACAGGCGGGTTATTCGAGATAGTAGTATTAAATCAATTGTCGAAGATTATTCCCTAATAGAATCTATTCAAATGAATGAAGAAATCTATTATGGTATATAGATGTTTGCAAAAAAAAACTTCTACAACTTCTTCGACAGATATTATCTTCTATATAAATGTTTTTCGAATTGTTTTATACTGTGGTGGATAGCCCACGACTAGTGCTACAGTTATATCGAATATCAGCATAGTTCAATATTTGATTCGTTCATCTTCACAATCAATAAGAGATAAGCATCGTTTTTTTTTTATAGACATCACATAATTTTTTACAACATTAATATCAATATTTCTGAATTCTTCAGCCTAAAAAAAATTCGAGCTCATCAGTATTTACAGGTTTCTCTCTACGTCATATTTCACTATCGATCATATGTTCTCGATTGAATTTGCATCCGAGCTATTAGATGGCTAATCTAATAACTGTAGTATATTTTCATCGATAAATTGTTTACAAATATTACTCGTATTTTTGTGATCGTTGTTCAGCTGTAAAAACGCCAGTTTTGATCAAACTGGTCTAAAACGAAAGAGTAAGCAAGTGACATTATGTTATTTTCTTTCATTACTTACGTCTGACAGTCGGAAGAAGATAATCTTCAAGAATAACAAGCATTAATATGGACCATCAAGGTTGCATCGAAACGTGTGACAGGTCAAAACACCTTTCGCATTCCAGATATGAACTTTTTGACGATGTTTAGATGAGTATTTTAATTCTTTATTAGGATTTTTCATCCATCGACGAACAGTATTACGAAAAAGCTAAAGCCAAGATTCATCTGTAAATATCGTATTAGTAAAATCATCATTTTTATATTTTTCAGTCTATTGCCCACAAAACATTTTAATAACCATATTCATGAAGGTGACAACTAATCGTTGATGTCGATACTGATTTGTGGTACATTTTCGATAAATTTTCTTTTATTTCGCTATCGAAAAGGAAAGAAATTATACTTCTTTATATATACAGCGTGTAATATATCTGTCGAAGGTTTAGCCCTCAAAAAATGACTTTTGTTGTTACTTATAATATTCGAGTAACAGCTTTAGAAAATAAAATTAATTTTGTGCGAGTTTTTTTTTTTGCAAATATCTGTATATAGGGAACAAATCATGAAAAATGAAAAGCTTCACTTGTAAACAGAAGAGGAAAGTAGAAATTTTCTATCCGAACTTTCAGGTCTGTCCTAAGTTCACCTCATTAATCTCTATAACATGCTCTGCTTATATTAATAATTCGTACAGTCCAAAGCGCTTAGCACTACGGATGGAGTGTACCAATTATTCATAAAGATAAGGCTCTTTATGGAGACTAACGAACTAAATTTGGACCCGAACCAAAATTATTGTAGTAAGGTAAAAGAATCTAGAAAGTCAATGACTGGATATGACCATTTTGACTTATTCGGGAATCTTCCCAAGATGAAAAGCGCTTTTAAGTTGACATCCTGTGTATAAAGTAGACCATAATGTGACATCAAAAACCTTTAAAGCATAAGAGCCCACAGATCTTCTCTATAGATTTATAGCCATTTTATTGCAAGATCTTGTGAAAGGAATATTCTAATTACAAGTATGTCTATCTATAAACAAAAAGACCTAGTGTGACTTATATCCTATGGAAGTCTCTAATATCTCATTGGATTCTACCTGATGCACAGAGTTTGAACTCAAACGTGATTTTCAAATTTGCAAGGTTTCTATCGTAAGATTGATCTCTTCTTCTAAAATATTTCAAAGGACATTCTTTTCAATAATAATTCTATTTTCATATAGATGATGCAAAAAATCGTTTAATCTATGTTGAAAAAGAATTTGAACAACTTAAACATGATTATTCTGATTTAAATTTAAAACAAAAAGAATTAATAAATACATGTAAAACACTTGAAGATGAAAATCAAAATTTATTACAAACAATTGAACAACTTGATCATGAAAAATTTCAATTAAAAGAAAATTTTGAAAAAACTGAAGAAAAATTATCAAATGAAATTATACAATTAAATGAATTAATTGAAAAACAAAAACAAGAATTAAATTATTCATCAAAACAAACAGATGATGTACATATAGATTTAAAACAAAATCTTGAATCATTACAAACACGTATACATAATTATGAAAATGCTGTTAGTCAATATGAAGAATATCGTTTAAAATTAGAAAATAATTTACAAAAAATAACACAACAACGTGATACAAATAAAATGGATTTAAGATTAACAAAAGAAATATTAATTAATAAAGAAAATGAATTTAATCAAATGAAATTAAATTTTGATGAAATAGAAAAAACTTTACAAATTTATAAAGAACGTTCATTACAACATGAAACAACAATTAATAATTTACAAAAACAAATTCAACAATATGAACAACAAATTTTAGATTTAAATCAAACAAAATTACAGGATATACAGGTAATACTTTCCCAACAAATACCCTAGAACCACTAAGATAAGTTAAAAAACAATTCGAAGTTTTGATCTGAGATTTTTGTCTATAAGTGCATTAGATCATTCTGAAAATTTCAACGAAATCAAACATGTCGTTCTCGAGATATTCGGTTTACCATAGGAACACACTTCAGTGAAGTTTTCAAAACTATCGAATCTGCGCCTATAGGCGAAATTTCATTTTACAACGATCATAACTCTTTATTGGTAGATAAACGGGCTCGGAATCATATTAAGTTTTTTTTTAGTCTCATCGACAGGAAGCTGCGGGTCCCGGTCCAACCTTTTATTTTTTGTCGGGCCCGGTTATACGTTTTTGTAGATTTGCTGCTCCCCAGATGAGAAATTTAGCAACGAAATATAACTGTATACGGTTGGAAAAAATATTATTCCAGGGGGGTAACGCTATAATTTCAAATAGAAGACATAATGAATTTTATATCAAATGAAAGCTCGTCAAAAATGGGGTTTATTGATACTAAATAGTGAGGCTTGTAAAAACTTTCTAATGTCAAACTTAAGAAGTTTTCAGAAATTTTATATTTTTTTGGGGTGGAAAATCAAGGTGCCACTGATTTTAAAAATGAAGTCAATTTTTTTTCTTGAATATTTTTACATGGTTTGATAGACCTCGTTGAGATCTACAAAACTGTGCATGTTAAAAAATTTTTGAGGCATCTTTTTGAGATAAAAAGTTCAAAAAACTACTTGGGAAACCTCAAAAACATTTAAAAATTCTTTTTTTTTTCAAATTGAAGAAACACGCTCAATTTTTCAATAAAAGTAGCTTTTTTCGTTGTTTTTACTACCTCAGACGTCTCGAAATATACTCGTTCGATGCAGTGTGAAAAGCTACTTTTATTGAAAAAGTAAGTGTTGTTCTTCCACATGAAAAATATAAATTTTTTTCATGTTTTCTAAGATTTTCCAAATAGTTTTTTGAATTTTTTATCGCAAAAAAAGTGTCTTAAAAATTTTGTTAATGTATACAGTTTTATAGAGCTCGACGAGCTCTATCGAACCGTGTAAAAATATTCAAGAAAAACATTTTACTCCATTCTTGAATCACTAGTACTTTAATTTTCCATCCCAAAAAAAGTATAAAATTTCTGAAAATTTATTAAGCTCGACATTAAAAGGTTTTCATAATCCTCACTATTTAATACCAATAAACCCCATTTTTAACGAGCTTTCATTTGATATAAAATTTATTATGTTTTCTATTTGAAATTATAGCGTTACCCCCCTGGAATAATATTTTTTCCAACCGTGTACGTTTATTTTTTTTTTTGAGAGTAGCAAATAAATTTCTAAAACCTTGATCCTTTACTTGTTCATGTACACGAAGGATGATAAGTATTGATGGAAAAAAGCTCGAGTTTGGATCCACAGCTCTCTACTCATCGAGATCTATTCGTAGCCAGGATATGAATTCGAACAACATCAATCCTTTGTCAACTATAAAAATTAACAAATTTTTATCATTTTTTTATTTTTTATTAAATTTTACTTTTATATGAAAAATCGACTTCAAACTTTGCATAAACAAAATTCTCTACGAGATTAATTCATTGGACAAGTCGTGAATTTTCTAGTATCTCCTATCCTAAGATATTAAATATTCAAAAAGAAAAATTCTGTTTACATCTTCAGAAAGGTTTTCTCCGTAAGATATTTACTCTTTTTTTTTTGTATTTAAATAGGAAAAAGAAATAACCTATCATGAAAAACTTTTATCACTTGAAACAGAAAAAACACAAATTGAACAACGTTTACAAGAAGCAAATCGTGCACTTAATTTAGCTGATTCACATTTACAACAAGAAATTGAAAAAATAAAATTAAGTCTTGAACAAGAATATAATCGACGTTATGAAAATGATTATAAACAACATCAATATGATTTAAATCAATTACGACAACAATTAACAAATGAATTTGAAAAACAAAAATTAATTACTACACCTATTATTCAAACAAATACATCCATACAAGATATTGAAGAAATTAAAAAAATGTATCGAATAGAAATTGATCGATTATATCGTGAAAATATTGAATTAAGTCAAAATCAAGCTAAACTTATTGATACACATCAAAAACAAATGAATATTATGAAAAAAGATTTAGATGATGGTTATAATAATATTATTAATGAATTTCAACATGAACAAACACGTTTACAACAACGTTGTGAACAATTAAAACAACAATTTAATGAATCACAACAAATAATTGAACAATTAAAAAAAAATCATTTTGATGATATTACAAAACTTAAAGAAAAATATACATTAGAACAAGATAATAGAAATAGACAAGAAAATTTACAAAATCGTGTTGATCATCTTGTTATATTACTCGAACAATCAAATGATACGTATGTTAAAAAGAAAACTCGATTATCATAAACATTATCCCTCCCTTCTCGGCTCTTTTAGAGAGAACCGCTCATCAGTAGGGAGCTGCGGGTTCGGATCTGAAGAAAACTTTCATACATACAATATTTTGTTCATTTTATGAAGAAAAAGAAATTCAATGCATTTAGAAAATAGACAAAGAAAAAATAACAATAAAACACTTTTTGAATATATTATCGAAACTGATTTATCATCGTGCTTGGATCCAAAAAATTGAAGGCCTCCTCCCCCTCAAAAAAATGGTCGTTTTCATTCAAAAATTTCGAAATTGAGATAATTGCATGGAAAGATAGCCCGTCTTCAGATCTTTCGGAAACCATATGATTTCCGTTAACGTCTCCTTGAAAAATATGTTTATTTCAAAAAAAACGAAAAATGTTTTTCGTTTTCTCTCAGTTTAGGCTTTCTGAACCGCGTAATCCATTTTTCTCTGTCCAGGCTCATTCAATACATTAAAATTTTTTTTTTGTTTGAAAGAGTACGTCAAGATGCAGTGCAGTACAGAGTCCTTTTTTTAAATTACGCTTATTTTTTATTATATCTACAGACACAGACACCCATTTTTGGCGCGTTTTTTGAGTCATTGAACTTTTGATCTCATTTTTCCGCTAAAAAAGTAAGAATTTTAAAAAAGGACTCTGTACTACACTGCATCCTGAGATGCTCTTTCAAACGAAAACAAAAATTAAATACATTGAAAGAGCTTGGATAAAGAAAAATGGATTGCCAAATGAGCTATTTTTGACCCTTGTTTGGTTCATATCTCTGTCAAACATCATGGTATCGAGCTGAAAATTTTACTACAGCCTCCTCACTTCAGCCCCAACATATGCTCCAAGTTTCAGCCCATTTGAACTTTCCTGGCCTGAGATCAATTTTTGAGGGGGGAGGCCTTAAGCGATCGGATCCGGTTCCGGGTCCAAAATTCTTGTATCCGACGAGCTCTATCTGGTGCTCCCCAGATGAGAAAGATATTTCATGTACACGAAGGATGCCAGCCATTGATAGGAAAAATCTCGGATTCGGACCCATGTCCACAAAAAACGTGGATTCGCAGCTCCCTACTCATAAAAAAAAAGAAGAAATATGCCTCAAAACAGATAGAAATAAAACAACTACATTTTAATCCCACAGGAATTGCATTAACAGTTTCTTTTTTTTTTTTTGAATTAGGTTGAATCAAGAACGGACATTACATACTAAACAAGAAAATGAATATCAACAAACAATTTCATCATTACAAAAAAAAATAGCTGATATGATAAAACAACATACAAAAGTAATGGATGAAATTAAACATGAACTTCATCAAGAACGTTTATCTTCTCAAAAACATTTAACAACACGACCAATATGTGTACCAGAATATGTTCAAGTATTTTGATTTTTCTATTCTTTTTTTTTATAAATTGTAAATAATATTTATTTTAGACAGATTTAGCAGTAAATGATATTAAATCAGATTATATGGCAACTGTTGAAAAATTACGAGGTAACAATCCTATATTGAGAAGGAGTTCATCGATTGTTCAAGTAAGAGAGAGGTAGATATAGCAAAAAAAAAACTAAAAGGAATGCATGCACATTTTATGCTCGACATTCAAACTATTGCTCGATGCTATTTGCATAATAATAAAAAAAAAAAAAAAAGTTTGTTTGTATATCTATCGCATGAAGTTAAGTTTATTGATTGATATATGTATATTGCATGTATATGTTTTTGTTTATTTGCTGCATCCATTCTAGAATTATTTACAATTGAAATGCTTGCTCTTTTACGACTCACATGCAAGATGATTTTCGATGTTCATCATCGAGGTATATTATTAGATAAATAGAAATGTACGAAATAAGATTCTTTTCGAAATTAGAAAAGAAAAATATTTTACAAAAAAAAAAATCTTTACAGAAAAATAAACGCATATAATTCAGTTGAATTGTATCAATCAATAGTTCCATTTTTAACTAGAATATCGAAAAATAAACTATTAATAAAATATATATAGATTCAAAAAAAAATGAAATACAATGGTGTTGTTTTTATTATAAAATAGAAAATTTGAGCAATGTCTATCTGCTTTTTTTTGTATTGAAGTGAGGCATTTGTTAAATATATCATGGTGTATGTAGTAGGAGTTAATAGTAGGTAAAACGTTCTCATTAGAAAATTCGTAATGCATTTAATAGAAAGTCTTCAACTATTGTATGAATTTTTAGTAATTAGAATCTTTCATTTAGAAGCTATGACAAATTGTTAATTGATATCATGTTAACACATCATTATCGACTCGTAAAAAAAAAGAAATCTCAGCTAATGACAAATAATAGTTAGATAAGTATGAGTGAGGTGAGGTTTGTAAAAGTCTAAAATGACTCATTAGAAAAAGTACCCGAAGTGATTAACCGCTTTTGAGCTCATACTTTTGGCACATAGAGAGAATCTCTAGACTGGAATAACCTCAAAAAGGATTCGGGTCTATGATCTTTATAAGCTGAGATATTGAATTTTCAAGCTCAATCTGATAAGAAGGATTTTGATTTTCTATTGCGATTATCTTGAAAACAAAAACGTGCTGTTAACAAGAAATTTCGTGATAAACTGATTGCATCATCAGTAAATTACTAGGAAATTTCCAGAGTTTATCTCATTTCTATAGTCCAAAGTGGACCGCAAAGGTTTACAACACTTTTATTTTTGAAGTTTTTCATTGAAGATGAGTCGCTAGGTGAAATCCAAATAGTGATTTGGATAGCTCTTGGAATTCTCTATCGAATAGAAAATGTGTCAAATTTTCAAAAGAAACTTTGTGAAGAGACTTTTCCAGAAAACTATGTCAGAGGATTTTGATAGAAAGATTTTTCAATATAAGCATCTAAAAGAGCAGAAAATTCTGAACAAAATGAAGGATCGCCCAGCTCTGTACAATATTCTGTCACAAAGTTATAAGCATTAGACAAAACGCAAAAAACGCGTTTTTCATCAAAAAAAGCCGTAAAATCCGATAAAAACCGCATTTTTTCGTTTTTTCTAATGCTTATAACGTTATGACGGAATATCATACAGACCTGGGCGACCCTTCATTTTGTTCAGAATTTTCTACTCTTTCAGATGCTTATATTAAAAAATCTTTCTATCAAAATCCTTCTGGCACAGTTTTCTCGAAAACTCTCTTCACAAAATTTCTTTTGAAAAATTTGACACATATTCTATTCGATAGGAAATTTCAAGAGTTATCCAAATCACTATTTGGATTTGATCTAGCAACTCATCTTCGATGAAAGAACTTCAAAGCAGAGTAGCTAACAGCAATGATTGCATTGAATATTAGATTCTTATCTTCTTGGAGTTTCTAATACTTTTTTGAGAGTGTAAACTCGAAAAATCTTAATTTCGTACATTGCTAATATATCTTAATTTCATTTATGAGAACTTCTGCATATAACAATAATTGATTTATATGTTGTTGTTTTTTTTTCTTTTAAGTGGGAATAGCTCATTATATGGACAATCTCGAAATTTCAATAAAAAAACAAATACAAAATGAATTAATACGAAGTCGTAATTCAATGATTAAAGAAATTCGTCGTGAATTATTTGAAAAAATGACACATGCTATGAAAAGTCAAGGAGTGTAAGTTAAAAAATTTTTCGATTACAAAAAAAAAATAAATAAATCTATTTCATTTTAAAAATTAAATCTAGACCAGATACAACAATTGATATGCATGTATTTGAATTAGATCGTCTTCTATCACAAATGGCTCAAGATTGTTTAGATTCATTAAGTTCATCTTCATCAACATCATCATCAATATATTCAACAATATCATCATCATCAAATTCAACATTAATAACACCAATACGTCAAATAACTAATCGTACAATAATATATGATTCTTCTTTAACATCAACATTAACAAAATCTAAAACATTAGAAAATAATTCTACACCATTAAGAAAATCAACTGAATGTTTACATATAACACCAAAACATATTGCACCATTAGCTCCACATTGTCATATAACACTTGATAATGATCGTCGTCCAAAATCAGCATCAACTATATTATTAGCTAGTCAAAATTCAACAACACCAACAATATTATCACCACGTACACATAAATTTCAACGTCCCATACAACAAAAAAATTTTAAAATGAAAATGTATCGTAGTGAAGATGATATTATGTTAGCTATACAACGTCATGATGAACGACAAGAACAAAAATCTGATTTAGATGATAATGATGATGGTACAATAACATTATGTGAACATGATATTGAAGAAAAACAACATCAACAACCAAATGTTCGTGCATTAGCAAGACAATTTGAACAAAAAACAAATATATTACCTGATAATAATCGTATGAAATTAAAAATTTCTGATAATAATAATCATCATCATCAAACAATACATTATGCAACAGCACGAACAATTATTAATGAACAACAAGAAGATAATAATAATGAAGATGATGATGATGAATTAACATGGCCACAACAACAACAACAACAACAACAGCAACAACAACAACAAACATCAACACATAGTGGAATTAAAAAATTTGTACGTCATAGTTTAAAACTATTTACTACGCAATCACAACAACAACAACAACAACAACAAAATAAAAAAATAGGAAAATAATTTTTGTTGTATACATTTTACTTTGACTTTTCATTGTTGTTTTGTTATTATATGAATATATATATATTTTTTGGTTTTCTCATACGATAGATTCTTATTCATTGAATTACTTCTTCTTCTTGATAGATTGGTAGATATATGTCTTTTTTGTTGTATCTCAGGATGTAATCATGATTGATGTGTTTTTTTTGTATTCATCGCCGGTTTTCTTTTTTGTTTTAATGTATTATCCGTCCACTTGAATTCAACAGTTCGACTTTTTCTTTTTTCAATTGTATAATCATATTATTGTTTATTGCTGAATTAAAAGAAAAATAAATGCAAATGTCTTCAAAAATGATTAATTCAATGTTAAGAAATACTGGGATGAGATTTTTTTGTAGCGAAATTGATAGAAAAACTTATTATCCATCAAGTCTCGTTAGGGTTCGACTTTTGGTTTTACTCGTCAAATGGTTAGGCAACAAAAAAAATCTATGTACAGGTTAACCTCTCTGCACTATCAGGATCGGTCAATAGTGCTTACTTTACGAAGGCATTCAATTTCTTTTGTGAAAACTAACGGGTGGCCCATAAATAATTATACTGTTAGTATTTTCGAAATTTCTACTCTATTATCGCTTTGACTAAAACACTTTTTTTATCAAAAGATAGTGCTTGAAATTCTCTACAAAACTATATATAACTAGATCCTAAAACTATTTTAGATATATTTGAAAAAAGATGAAAAAAATAACGGGATGGACATAATGAATGGCCACACTTTGCATCTCATTTTTTCATCACTTACTTTGTCCTATTAGGAAAACAAAATATACCAAAAGATGCAGCGTAAAAAGCTCTACAATTTACATAAGGTCACCTATTTTGTAGTTGCATTTTTTGTTTTCAAAATGGACAAAGTTTTGAGCGATCAAATTTCGACCATGTGAAAATGATATTGTTTTTTGGTACAAGATGACTTCGTTTTTTTATTTCCTCTTTTTATAATTTGTTCCTTGTAAATTGTAGAGCTTTTCATGCTGCATCTTTTGGTCTATTTTGTTTTTCTAATAGGACAAAGTAAGTGATGAAAAAATGGGATGCAAAATGTGGCCATTCGTTATGTCCATCTCGTTATTTTTTCCAGCTTTTTGTATGTCTTTATTTTTCATCTTTTTTCAAATATATCTAAAACAGTTTTAGGAACTAGTTATATATGGTTTTGTAGAGAATTTCAAGCGCTATCTTTTGATAAAAAATATGTTTTAGTCAAAGCGATAATAGAGTAGAAATTTCGAAAATACTAACAGTATAATTATTCACTAGAAAACGCTTTCCGATTGTACAAAGTGATTATATTCTTTTTTTCTTTTAAATAGTTTATTCACTCAAATGATCATTTCTTTTTTCTGAAATAATAATTCTTTACAACACAAAACTAAGCTTTTGTAAAATAACTATCATGTGTACTTTGTAGAGGCATGTTCGAATTAAGATAAATGTCTATTAGTTTAAATTCAATATCAATTCAAGATGATTTGGAGAATTCTATCTAATCAGGATTCTAAAAGAAAAACTGAAAAGTGTATTTTTCAGCTTCTTGAAAACTTTGTGGAAATTATTTTATTTTTTTTTGATAATACCATCTTAAAGAGCGTAAAATTCTGAACAAAATAAGGGATCGCTGTGTTTTTTACGGTCTTTCCTTGAGAAGTTACAGGTATAACAGAAAACGAAAAAATGCAGCATTTTTAGCCGATTTTTTGATAAAATTCACTTTTTTTTTTCATGTTTTGTAATACTCGTAACTTCTCAAGGGAAGGTTATAAAAAAACACATCGACCCCTTCTTTTGTTCAGAGTTTTATGTTCTTTAAGATAGCATTATCAAAAAAAAATAATTTCCACAAAGTCTTCATAAAATAAAAGGTGCTCTAAACTTTTATTCGCCACTATACATGCATTATGTAAATTCAAATGAGCTATGAACATTCTGAAAAGAGTTCGTACCCATAAACTGTGCTCATACGGTAGTTTTTATATGAATGTCGTAGTTCCTTTTATGGAACACCAAAAAAACAAGAACTGAATTTCGATTTGAAATTTTCGCATTAAACTATTTTCATTAAGATCTGTCTCTGTGGAAAGTTTCAAGTCGAAATTCGAAAATCAATTTTATCTTGTGTTTCTGAGGGAGATCACGGCATTCATTAAAAAAAATGTAGTATCTACTCTTTTCAAGGATTCCATTCGATTTATTTTCTCGATCAGAAGCAATAAAAAAAAAAATGCCTAAAGTCCTCAAATCTGTTTAGATTTATATGATTTTTAGTACAATCAAAACATAAAATATTAAATAGACTCTACAGTATACACAGTGAGAAGTTAAGTTGGACATGTGTGACAGATCTCGGACGTAAGATTTTATTTGAGATTCAATCGCATTTTGAATTTTTCTCAGAAAAAGGCTTATTATTATTTTTTTAATCAACATTTCCCTAAGAAATCATAAAGCAGATTATATGCTTCTCAGAATATTCATAGTTCATTTGAGTTCTGTATAATGTTCGTAGTTTCGATTCGGAAGTGATTTATTAGTTGGAAAACTTTTCTCGTAAAGT